GAAGATTATCGGTACGACTGAGGTGGGCCCAAGAACAGAAGAGGCGTAACCCGGACTCGAGACGATGCATGTCGTGATAGACGATGATATACCCTGGTGGCGCATAGCACAGTATTTTTGGATGTTATTTTGCTCCGTTCGTACTCATCATCCACGTCAATAGTGGGCTCAAACGATGCATCCAGCAAAACAACCGTGCCGTATTGGACGGAATGAACGGAACGTGTCTGACTGACTGAAGCTTTTTTTTGTCCTCGGCAGAGTGCGCCGAAATTGAAGCATCGGGTTTCACTTCTCGTGTGGACCTTTGAATGTGGTGTCAGTGTCGACACCGAAAAAACGACGGCACGAAGAAACGACGGGGAGCTTGCATGTACTGACTCCACTATAATACCCGGAAGGTGCGCCCAGGCGGGTTCACCCGCCCGCAGTAAAAGCTCCGTAGGTGCACTACGGCTCGTAAACACTGTACACGCACAGGGGCGTGGTGAAGTTGCTTCAATGTCCTCTTCGAGTCAGTAAACTCGAACAAAGTTGATCGCACTGCTCAGTCCGAACGTGCAATCGCGCGGTGAGATACGATCGATCGCGATCGATCCTGTGTATCGAGGACACTCGATCATCGCTTCCAGTCAGCTGTGTCTCGTCTTGTAGTTCATCACGAGTAGTGTGTAGGTATCGTCAAAGGACAAACACGTAACAACGCTTCTTTACACCATAATTGTCTCCACTCCCAGCCTGGCAACTACTTCACTAGTACATTAGGTCATTTTACATATCCAATGCGAGTAGAGAACGCGGTCGCCTCGAGATCGAGCTGTCAGCACAGTCCCCTGAACATGTCTTCCTTGGCTTCAGCTCAGACCGCCTTTGAAGGACCAGTCATTGGAGTTGATCGCTCATCTTGAGTAAGCGCTCATCCCTTTAGGCGTACTCTCAAATTCATTCAAAGCATGGTCTTCTGTCGGGTTACTCAATGTGTGCCATATGGCATGCTGAGTTCTCTTGTCTATACCGTTTCGGGCTCGTGAGAACCAAGAATCGTCTGCTTTTCGGGTCACAGCCAAGTCACCGAAAGGTTGTGCATACTTCATCACTGCATCCTCGAACTCTTCGCGGGTCGCACGGGCTCTTCCCACGCGAAGAACCTTGCCGATGCTATTATCTGTGGTTTGTATACAGCTGTGACACGAGCATGCATCGTCCCGCAATGTAGAAGTAAGAATAACCCGGTGTGATGTTCTATGCCGGTTGGGATACCGGTTCCGCGCAAGACCCGTTGTGCTGTTGGCACACCATAGTTCCTCAAACGGAGGCTTCTTCATCTGTCAAGTCGTCGTTGATTTTCGCACAAATATATTATCTAGTGACAGTTGATACATCGCTCTACTGATGCGGTGTCCATGATACCGCTCGATTGACAAGTGCGAGCCAAAACGGTTCACGCCGTTGTCCGGGTGATGTAGAACGTCCACTCAATGATCGTGCCGGTCACTCGTGTTCAGATGTGCTCATGGCTTGGGGTTCCAAATTTGTAGCAGCCAGTGTGTTTCGACGATGTGGGGGTACAACGGGGAAGCGGCTAGTGATGCTGAAGCGAGCGGGGAAGAAAGCATGCTTACAGCGGATACGGAGAATTTGAGATTGTGCGAACGAGGATTCAACATGGTCTTCGCCGTAGTATGAGTGCACTGGATAGGGAAGTTGACTCCCGCATCCGCGTGCAGTTTCCGTAAACTATATCGTGCAGCAACGAGCCAAATTCAGTTATCTGCATTGGCTGGCGGGCGGTTTCTATGTATGAAGATCCATCCTACCAATGCGAGATCTGCAGGCAGCTGTAGCAGGACTACTTGCTCGATTCGAGTACTGACTATTTGTCGGTGAAGTGCATACAGCGAGGGTGTGCTGAATCGTTCATGGTTCGCTTCCCATATTCCAACCAACTGGTAATTTGACTGAGAGAGTAAGTGGACGTCCGCAAGCGCTGATACCTCAACATGTATCCTGCATAACAAAGCAGGTCCGTATTGGCTTGGGAGACGTTTCCAGTAGTGGAGACGACCGTGCATGGAGCTGCAGTTGACCTTTGCTGGACCTCCGTCAGGACGGTACATGTTTTTGTCTCTCGGACATATGTCGAGCACAATATCGGGGTTGGAAGCATGCGATATCCTTGAGAAAAATGATTGAGATAGACTAGCCTTCGCTTCTAGGTTGGACTAGATTAGGGCAAACTAGCGGGATATGTTGTCAATGCTGATGGCGAATGTTGAGGTAGTCTTTTACCGGGTTCTGAGACCAAGTTCCGGGCTCGTGGAACAGATGCATGAATATGGTCTACTGCATATGCAGTTTACATCTATGCGGCCCAGGATAGTTATACAAACTGACTCGGGCTCACGTAGCTCCAGCACCACACCCATACTTCTTTGTTACGTATGAGAAGTGTGCATACTTCTCCCACACTAATGCAATGTAACAAAGGACTTGTGACGACAAGATTGTATGTGCGCGCCGAGCGAAATACTTGGACAAGGTCTCCAGTGTGGCGAGCAATCTATCGGCTTGAGAGGGCTTGCGCCTTTTGTGTGTGACTTCACCGCTACAAGGTATTGTTCTAGTCCATAAGATTACTCAAAGGAAATGGCGGCTAAGGTTCCGTGGGGAAAAGCGTATGGCGACCGCGGTGGTGACGTGGGTTGGTGGCGTATAAAGGTTCGTGACATTCTCCTTGGAAGTGCAACCCCCCAGATTTCCCCAGATTTTCTCCACGGTCTTCTGGAATTCCGTACACCAAAAGCTTGTTCAAGATCCAGCTGAAATCTGTGTCCACAATCGCCGATCTTGAGTACGAGACAGACACGCACACGTGCTTTGGATGTAAGTTCGCCAGGTTCCACCACGGCCAGCGAGCTAACAATAGCCGTAGTTCCCAAACACAGGATCGGACAGATAGTCATACCATCAGCGCCTTTGAGATGTGCTTCTACGAAAAGATCCAGTTTCCGTGTGGCCATGACGAATATCGGCTCATGCAGCACTGCCATTTCGCACGCAACGATCCCGGCCACCAATGTTTTGGCGCTTGGAACGTTAGAAGAACATGGGATCAACGGGAAACAAACTGCACCAACTGTGTCAGACAGAGCCAGTACGATCCGGCAGTGCATACGTCCCAGTCAGCGTACACCGTCGCCAGCGGAAGATAATTGGTTCTATGGATGCAATGCTAGCAATAGCCACCCCCTGGTTTCGACCAATGGTCTTCTGTCAGCTCGAGAAATCGGGTGCGCCTCTACAAGATAGTGAAGAGTCGGATCGAATATCGAAGGGAGGATTTCATCTTACTTGTTGGGGTTTCGTGATTGTTTGCACGCCTGGGCGGTTGTTCAATTTCTTTTGCGGCGAATCCTAACGCTTGTAATGTCCCGAGTGGAAAGCTTGGGCGCCATCTTCTGTGGCTACGGTCTTCACTGTACACTATTAGTATTGTACCTACATATCACCAAATATATGGTAACAGGCATATGGCCTCGTATGAACGGCGAGTGTCTCCAATGGGCAGTTGAGAAATGGTGTCCGTAACTACTGACGGCTCTCCCGAGAGGCGCATTGATGCCGGTATCGAAACCTGCGAACATCAACTTCACGTATGTGGAGCCTGATCACGACACGCGTGGCGTCACAGATTGGTTGGTCGTGGCGTGTGCAATGAGGAAGTTCGTGACGACCTCGGGAAATGACATGAGGCTCGTGCTACTAACCTAGCGCGGCATGGGCGTGGAGCCCCACCTGGGCACCTGCCCAGCAGACAGGCCAGCATCGTGACTTCCCATCCGACATTCTGCATCATTTACACCGATATCTTGAACTCCACCATGTCAGACTCTACAGAGCAGCCGAAGAAGGAGAAGTTTGCGCCAAAGCAACCCGTCGCACTGAACCCGCCAAAGGATGATGTCATTGAACGCGATTACCTTGCAAAGTGTGATGGTACGGCTTTGCAGCGACTGGCTTGTATTTGAGTGGCCAGGCACTGACCACCAGCAGGCACAAACGAGGGTCTACCCACTCTTGTCGCAATCAAGGTAACGATAGCTGCTTTTCTTCAATGGTGTTCTCGTGCAAGCGCAGAAGAAGTTGACCATCATCAGGGTGACGTGTTCGACGTGAGCGGCAAGGAGACGTACGCACCTGGGAAGGGTTATCACGGTTTGTCGCCTGAGATGCAGCATCAAGTCGTACCATAAACGACTAACCTATCGTCCTAGTGTTTGCGGGGAAAGAGCCCAACCGTGCCCTCGGTCTGTCTTCTCTCAAGCCTGAAGACTGCATATCGGACTACTCCGGACTTTCCGATAAGGAAAAACAGGTTCTTAATGATTGGCATACGTTCTTCAGCAAGCGTTACAACATAGTCGGACGGTTACCTTCTGATGGCGCCAACCTCTAGACGGTCCATGTCTCAAATCGTCGACTAGCACACGCCATACTATCGGCCCGTGTAATGTAGCAGTTCCAAGCAACTAGGTTCTACTGAGTCAACTGAAAGGCGCTTTGAGTGTCACATGCACTGCACTGAAAATGTGGAAAAGCGATTCGATGAGACCACAAAGCTTGGAAGCAAACCGAATCCATCACATTCAGTCTGTGTCCGAGGAAGTGTACTATTTATGGTCGTACGATGATATCAAATCATCCTCAAGTTCTGAGATGGTAGGCACCGTGTCGAGCATGGTGAAGTATGATGGCTGATAGTGTGCCTGCTAAGCTGCCCAGATACCCAACAAAACGACACAGCCAGAGATCGTTCTGCCTATGAACCCACCTGACTTCTACCCGTGTCACAACCCCTATTGAGTTATGACGGTATCATCGCTAAGATGGCGACTTCACCATCAAAGCAATTAGAGAGTGAACGACCTCTGCAGCGGCCAATACGGTGGTTTCACCCGGGTTATCGTAAATGGGAGCCACTTCCACTGCGGCGAGTACATTCAGTCAGCTTCTAGTGCTCGTACTAATAAGTCAACGGGGCTCGGAAAATACGTACCAACATCTGCCCCGACGACGTCTAGTCCTTCGAGACCGTCCAGAATAGACAAAAGCTCTCGTGTGCTCCAGCCACCGACTTCGGCTGTTCCCGTGGCTATTTTTATATGTCAGTCACTGTGTAACGAAATATCTGGGTGTTTTGTTTGACGACTTACCAGGTGCGAATGCCGGATCGAGTACGTCTATGTCGACACTGATGTAGACCTTCGTTCCAGCGACGCGAGATTTGAGCTTGTCGATGATTCCAGCTATACCCAATCGATCGATTACCCGGGCCTTGACCATCTCAAAACCACATCGAAGGTCGTTGCGCACATCACCTTTCGGCCGTACCACAGGAGCTCGGATGCCCGCGTGTATACTAGTATTTCGGATCAAGCCTTCCTCATGAGCGATGTGCAAGAATGTTCCATGGTTGACACCACTGTTGTACTGTATCAGCAATATGCAGGGTACGTTCTGATATTCGGACTCACGCGTAATGGGAGATACCTCCGCCTTTACTATGTCAGTTTCTGATCAGATCGGTGAGCACTTCGGCTTACCTAGTACTTCTGGGTCCCAGGTGTCTACCCAGCCGTCAATGAAGCTCAACAAAACCAGCCGCGAACTTACCGATGTGACTGTCGAAGTGTATTACGCTCACGGGCCCCCAGTGATGATGAGTCGATCGAAGGGCCGATAAGGTTGTGGTATGATCACCACCTAGCGTCACAATCTTTGGTGTCGTGCGCTCGCTCGAGTTGGTCGCTCTTGAGGACACGATCTTGGCGATGGTCGTCAGACATTTAAACCAGTCATTTCGTGCGTTCACCAACCTTGTGCGCCTTATCAAGCTGCTTCAATGCCGCAGTGTTATCCTTCCAGGTACGTTATTTATAGTCTTCCTTGGTCGTTCCTTCAGTATCTTACCAAAAATGTTAAAGGGGCGTCGCCACAGTCAATAACTTTTGCCCAATCCGCGAAGACGTTCTCGCCTGAGCCCCGTCAGTCACTACGTTACGAAGTCGCTTTGTCACAATGATTAGTGTCTCTCGATGCAATGTTGGCTTCATGCCAGAGCGAACGGAGCAGCATCATCAAGACAACAAGAAACTGCAACCAAGATTAGGGTACACAGGACAAATTCTAGCGCACGAATGAACGCCTCGAGAACACAACTTGCCAAGATGACGTGGTGTAACAAGTGCCGCTCGTTGTTGCTTTGTTTTGAACAACGCTCTAAGTCCGTGCTTGCGGGATGAACGCCCATACGCGCACCCTCATCATAATACGACATACCTGTATATATTGACCATGCAGCGTCTGGCGATATCCGACTTGAGCCCTGCCGGATGCCACTCGGGCCGAAGCGCGCTCCAGGTCGTGCCGTAACGCCCTGCCCGTTGTTAACCTTGGCTATTGCGATGCGCCCGACTCCGATGCGGAGTCTTGCGCACACAATGTACATGACCTACAGTGTCAAACGGCGCACCAAGAATTGCGATGTCGAATGGCTCCACATCCTGGCCTTCTGCTGCTAAACAGTGCACATACGGTAAATTGGCGTATGTCATCAGCCCTGCAAACTTTGCTTGGGTGATGTCCATTTCAAGGTTGCCATGAGCAATAATCTGCTGCGACGGATAGCCAGAAATTGGCGGGAAGGTAACATCGCGAGCGCTTGCGAAGAGCTTGAGAGAAGATGCTAGTAGCAACAACGATTTAGGTGCCATCATGAACAAGAGAGATCGAATTACAAGCAAAAGGCGAGCAAAGCTATCTCAATTAACAATATACCCAAGTGACGTGCTTATCTCCATTGCGAGCCGGTGGTGATGCCCGCGACCAGTCGCACTAAGCCCTGAATGGCAGGTACAGCCGATCGTACCCCTCGATCCGCCTGCAACGGCTGTCAGTCTGTTACCACTTCCAGAACACGCCGACGGCGCGTAAGACCTCGCACACCAGACTCTGCTTATCTTCGGAAGTCATTCGAAGACCTCCCGTCTGTCTTCATTCTCGGGCCCGTCTCTAGTAGAATAGGCATGATGTCATACAAGCATTGCCTCCAGCTCATCCTCCGAGGGTCGCCCTCCATCTGTGCGTTCGTGGTTCGGTATCTTTTCCAGGCGCTATTGTTACTGCGCCTTCACTACCAGGTCCTTCTCGACTATTTCTTCCCACAGGGTGACATGCATTCCAATGCATTCTCCCTGAACAGCTTTAGATCTCAGCTGTTCTGCGGTGAACTTTATGGGCGCAACGATGTCATCTGCGCCGAATTCAAACTCGGATTGTTGCAGAGCACCAATGCGCCAATGGTGTGGACACTTCTGCTCTTCGCTGACTTCGTTGGCATTAGCTTTGCTGTGTGCTGAGTCTGACGTCTATGGATGACATGTCGAGACAGCGACTAGCTAATCATAGCGGTAACTTCACACTCATACAACAGTTCCTTCTTCGCCAGACTTGCAACACCGACAACCGTATCAGGCGGTCTATGTCCATCCGCCTCATTGTCCATGAATTCGATCCAAATATCTCCCCAGCCACGATCTACTACATCCTTTCGATCCTGCTCTGGGTTGCCGGTCTCCTTGACGATATAATGTCGAACATGCACCTGATTACATCAAAGTTAGTGGCATGGCCAACACTGCCTTGAAAGTGCTCAATCAAGGTTCAAAGCGTACAATGTCTCGTGGTGTGGCTCCAGCCGCCGCCAAGCACTTGTGAATACTATCATAAGCGCCCTTCGCTTGCTCTTTAATATCGGATGGGATGGTATGGTCTTTTCGAAGGCCCGTTTGACCAGCAAGGGTGATCAATTTGGATGACGGCACTATTGGAGTGATGCAGACTTGGTTATATGTCGGTGGAGGTTCCGGTACGTTTTCCGGGTTGAACGCATGGGGCTTGTTAGATGACATGACTGAAATCAAGACAATCGAAGCAGTGTTCCTTGTTGGTGTTTCCTGTATGTTCTTTGTTTGAGTATCACGATAGTATCTCGGCATGAGGGGCATTTTCGCGTGCACTTGCCGCACCTAGTAGTCAAACATGTGGGCCTCACTGGCGTTGAAGCATGGGCCTTGATGACATCACGGACTTTCGTCACGCGAATCCAATTTCACCACGCAAACAGGACGCGACAAACCTCACACCACTGCACACAGCCCGGCTGGCTGATTAAACATTACCACATCATTGGTTCAAAGTGGATTACTTCATTGACGGATGGAATTCCACCTGCAACCGGGCGAATGAGATGCAGGCCAACACGCGCCTGCCTCCGTTCGAATGCGGGGAAAGCTCCAGCAGCGAGAGCGTTAAAGCCGTCTGCTCGTGACGGTTCGCGCAACCTCAGCTCACACCCCTTTGTTTGACAGACACTGCTCGTATCATGGCGTCTGGCTGGTTCAGCTCATCGTCGAGCGACCCAACGCGTCCTCCGGACGTTCGCGTTCAAGTCGCTGAACAGAAACCTCACGACTTTTACCTGCAGCCCGGCTCAGGCAGCAGCCCAAGACCCGCCACCAACCGCTCAGCGGCCTCAGTACCTGCGGCGTATGTGGATACGACTCACTCCAAGGTCCATGTCCACAATGCTTCACTTTTCGATGTAGGCATCCTGAAAGACACCCTTGTCCCATCACTCACCCTGCATTCTGGCTTGGCCATCATTGCGTACGGAGCTGCGCGATACACAAACCGCGTCGAAGCCAAGGACTGGCTTTGGCCCAGTGGTCAGGTCGTGAACGCCTGGTGGTCTGCCGTTGGACGTCGTCTTGCTCAAGGCTACACCGTCTCGCAAGCATTCAGTCGTCTATCATGGCACGAGCGTGTTATTCTCACGGGTGTTACACTATGGGGAGGGCGTCTCTTTTATCGCATCGTTAACCGTTCCATTCAACGAGGCGAGGACGACCCACGATATGCCGAAGTCAAGAAGGAGGAGGGCTTCTGGAACAGCGCGTTGTTCAAAGTCTTCATACCCGAGGCCTTCTTCCAGATGCTCATCAGTCTGCCGTTTACCGCACCATTCCGACACGAAGGTGCTGTCATGACAGGCTACCACCCCTTTGTTCAGATGTTTGCTGTCGGCTTGTTCTCTTCAGGATTGGCGATGGAGACACTTGCAGACTACCAGCTAGACCAGTTCAAGTCCGAAGGCAACAAGGGCATCATGCGTGAAGGAGTATGGAGCATCGTCCGTAATCCCAAGTATGTATCCCCCCTCCACATTCTATGTCACTCGCTAACGTCGTGTAGTTACCTTGGCGACGCCCTCGTACACATCTCCTTCATCGTTATGCTTTACGGCTCAGACATGCTCGCCCCTATCGAACTCCTAGGCCCCGCCGCGAATTACGCCTTCCTCCGCTTCTTTGGCGGCGACGCCGAGAAAGAGAAACACCAAGAACGCCGATACTCCGAATCTCACCCCGAGAAGTTCCGCGAATTGGAGAAGTTCAGAGCGGATAAGAATGCTTTCTGGCCGAGCGTCGATGAGCTAAGCAACAAATGGTTGTGGACTGTTTTGGGTGTTGGAGGCTTGGGTATCGCAGTCGAGCAAACGCTTCGGGCGCTGCATTAGGTCTTGCCGTCTAAGGTCAATGAGGTTTGCCCACGAGGCTGTCTACGCGGTAGGCGCTTAGCGTTGTCGATTAAGTTTGTACGATATAATTAGCTTAGATAGTCAATTTCTTTACTGGTATTTCAACTTGGCAGTCCCTACGCACGTTAGCATCAGTTGTCTATCACAAACATTGTAATGTTTTTCCAACAAATCTGTCGTTCCGTAACAGATGCGTCGACAAGCCCAGGGTTTGCCAATCACAACGAATGTCCGGTTCACCAAACGACACGAGTACATTGACAAACCTGACCGTAGTCTTGGTTGTACAACTGCCATTTTGTGGCTTCTTGTTATAACACTCGTGTCAATGTCCTACCGTCACCGTTTGAGCTTTGCTACACATCGACCGTAAGCAATGAACGAAAGAGATCTGATAGGCATCATCTTCGTAGCCGTGTTCGTCCCCCTGATCATAGCTATCGCCGCTCTATGTCTTCGTTGCCACTGCCATCTCCAACGTGGTAGAAAGCGTCCAAGGCGAACGCGATCATATACAGTGGATACGGACTGGACTGATTACACATCCCCGCCATTCGAGCCAGCGTATTACAGTCCACGTTTCAAACAACCGTCCAAGACCCAATCTAAGAGATATGCGTCATACAGATACGACTTCGGCCTTCCTCGATACGCTCCAAGAGTACACGCTGCCAACACAAGACAC